AAAAAAAAAAAAAAAACGAGAAGCCCAGGACCTCACAGGCACTTGCTATGGCGCACCCCTATCAATGAAGAGCTGACCGGCCAATCATGTTACTTTCTTTCCCTGCATGAAACCCAACGACGAGGGTCCAAACCTTCATCTGCACAATTCTATAACCAGAACTCTGAAAGGTGCCAACAGCCTGAAAAACCTCGAATATAATGCTCCAGAACATCCAAATAGGTGCTTGTCAAGACTGGGATCTCTGTGCCCATAACTTTGAGAAATCCCTATCTTTTGGATACTGCCCTCACCTTACAACACGTAGAGGACCCTCATCAATACTATGCTATAGTTAGAATTTCGGTAGACTGCCAGGGGCAGGACCCTATCTTCCTCTGAGCTTCACGTCTGGAGCCTCCCGCTGTTTCGCAGCGGCCCAGGCGCGCTGGAGGCCCAGCTCCTTCATGGAGCTTCTGGGAAGTTCTGGGAAGTTCTGGGAAGTGCTGGGAAGTTCTGGAATGCGCAAACTCTACTGCAGGAAATCCCGCTGGTTTGCAGCAAGTACAATGGGCCATGATCCTCCAGCTCTGATTCGCAGAAAGGTCGGGTGCACTGCTTTGGAAGCGCCGAGCTAAGAAGTGCAAACGGAAACCCTGATTCACCTGACTTTCGCGGATGGCCGCAGGCGGTCTTTTAGTTCAGGGGAACAGGTTTCATTACCAAGGGAAGCAATTCGCAGGCGTTCCCTCTGATATGCAGAGCCTCATATCGAAGCCCTGTCTTTGCGCTTATAAATACTGTCCTACTACAACTTTTACTATGCTTGCTGTCAAGCATGCGATTACAAATCTTGCTGCCGCTTCTTGTAACCAATGTCAATGTCTCTTTATGAGTGCCTTTTTGAGTCTTCATGCTAATCCTGTCAGTATTCTGCTGCTGTCATTGTCATGACTACTGCGCCGTACTTTACGTCTACTGCCGTCCTTCCACTGAGCATGCAGATCAAGATCAGTATGAAGAGCATCGAGATTTGATATTGTTCTGTAAGCGCCTGCTGTAAGCGGTTAGGGCTTGCATAGGCATGCCCATCCCGAAGCAACCTACCATGCTACTCCACCTCACCCATCCATCCACCCACCCACCCAAATTAGACCCAGCTGTGGCTGCAAGGTTCGGGTAAGAGTTGCAGATAGGTAGGGCTTTGAAGAGGTGCTTTTAAAAGTTTCTAGAGCAGGCAGGCCCCTGATGTTTGTCACTTTCACGATGGCGCGGTTTGGTTCGCGTAATGTCAGCACAGCAGGTGGTCATTGGAGGCAGCACCGTGGGCGTGGAGGGTTGAGAAGATTCACAGATCCATGACACTCCGTGATACATGAAACACTGTACGGCTGCTTGACAAATTGTGGTTCAGGGCTTGGTGTTGCAGCCTTGGACTGTATGCCATGGATCTGCCTACCTAGACCTAGCCATGATCTTTGCCTCCGCCAGCTGCCACACGCCTTAGCCCGACAGGGGAAGACAAGAACAGTCTGACGTGTCTAAACTTGACACACAGAATCCCTTCAGAAGTGTGTCATGGATGACGCTCCTGCCAAGAGCTGAGGATGGGCTTTGGCCCCCTTCCGCTCAGCATTGTCAATACTGCAATTCCTCTCCGTTCATTTGTCGGACATGGGGAGGGGCGCTAGTTCTTGCTTGTGGTCTACCAACATCTCCAGGAAGAGGTCCCAGCAACTCTGCACAGAAATTGGCATTGCATCCATGCGGCCACCTTGTTGAAGATTCTGCTCCGTGTAGTGCGCTGCAAACCTGCGGCAGACGAGCACCAAGGAAGTGAAGAAGTCTACGCCGCAGGCTTGAACCCACAGAACTGCAAGGCCGAGGAGCTCAAATCACTGTCACCAGGTTGCTGCTTTCAAGCTGGGTATTCCGCTTTTGCTTTCCAAAGTCTACAGCATCTAAGCACCTCCTGGAGGCAATGAGCGCCGTTTCCACCGCAGGCCGCCAGGAAAGTGGCACCACCTTCTCTCCAACCTGACAGCTTTCTTTCGGGCGCAGGCTATATCCAGGCACATAGCCTGGTTTTCCTTCACAAACTTGAAGCTATCCTTTAGCTGCTAAAGGACGAGGATCGCTGCGCAGGGAACCCCGGGAGCACAATCCTTCAGAAACTGAAGATGACGCAATTACGCCTCATACTGATCCCTTTAGGCAAGTTCCTTCATGCTACGATGTCCCTTGCAAAGTTTTCTTCTTCGACGTGTTCTTTACTCCCCGTTCATGCGGCCGTCTTGACATTCTTCTGGCTGAGTCCCTGCCCAAGCCTTGACGTTGAAGTTAACAACGTCGATGTCCTCGACGAGGCTCGAGATGGGCAGCGCCAGCGCGGCGTAGGCCCACTTCATCATTGGAGACATGCCAATGACATTGCTTGAACTTCAGCGGGTGCAATGGTCTGGAATTGGGGCCTTGAAGCTTTCAAGGTGGCACTAATGCGGGAGCACCAGGGCTTGTGTTGAAACAAGAGGGCTTTCAGGATTAGGAACAAACATGGGACACTGTCTTTCTCGTCCTCTTGGGGTCTGACAGTGTCTGATATGAAGCTGCAGAAGTTGTTGCCACAACGCCTATCAGGCGTTGCTGAAATACGATTAGCTTGGGGCCCTGGCTCAGTTTTGAAGGCTTCAGCCAGTGGCTGCAGGGAGGGTCACTTGCTGAGCTTCACTTCCAGCACAAACGGTGATAAGTCAAAATCAACAGATGCTGAGATAGCCGTTCCTGACCTCCTTTACTGCCACGGGGCCACGACGGTACACAGCCAGTTTTTTTTCAGTTTGCACAGACGCCCGTGCATAACATCCACTGCTCCTGACACGAGCCTGTCTTTGTGGTTCTGCCTTGCAGCCCTACCAGTCCTGCTCAACTACTCCAGCTCAATTATGGGCATTGGGGAGTTATGTTAGTGTTATCTGGCGGTAACGTAGCCGTGAGTGCACTCCAGTCCATAGGGCGTCCTGGATCGCGTCAGATCCCCGTAGAAAGGACTTACTGTAGAACACTCCGGGCCGCGAACGCTGATGCCTGTCACTGTCCCCTTTGATATGATTTGTCAGCTGGAAACTCACATGGCGCATCACTGTTTGGTGAGTGCTCAGGCCAGGAGCTCGGATGAATTATCCCCTAAACTGGCAACAGGGAGCGGCTTTGTCTGAGTTGTTAGAGGTGGGAGGGGCAAGGAAAGGTCTTCAATGTTTCGCTGCAACTCATCAGACTTGAGAGCCCCCTTTCCAGTCACCCTCTGCGCTGCAGGGGGAAGCTGACTGAATTTTTGCATGCTTCACAGGCTGTACATGCTGCTTGCCAGCATGCCCGCACCACCGCTTTGGTACGCAGTGCATTTAAACGCATGGTCAACTCAGGACGTGATAAATGAAATTCGAGTACACTCACAGCTCCGTAGCTGCAGTTAATCTCGCAAGGATCACATCCCTTTCCGGCCCATTCTTGATATGCTTCCCATTGGCCAGTGGCAGCTACGGAGAGAGAACCTATGCATTCACCCACATCAGACTATGGGTCGCACTTGGGCTCCAGCTTGACATCCCAGTCCCAACACACGGACAGATGGCCCTCACTTCCATCACAACTGGCCAGGGCACTGGTTTCATGTCAATTCATGCCGGTGCTATGTGTCGCAACATGATCTGTCGCAGCCAATAATAGCCTACCAGCCAGCTTTACTGCTGAGCCTCTAGACAAGATGATTCAAATGCGTCACAAAATTCTAGCCTTGGCCATATCGATTATGCAGACAGCCTGGGCCTGATGAAACTATGCGAAGCGCGACCAGCCTGCATGCGATCTTTACCACCTTCTTGTTGCCCATGGACATCATCACACCGGCTTGTACGAAGATGCCTTTCACTTTGCATTTGCTCAAGGAACCCAGGAACCCTTGCTTGCAAAGAGCACTTGCAATCTGCTCTGAGAGTAAAAACATCAGGTAACTACACCGGCACACGTCAATGGGTTTTCCAGGCAGGGGAACGCTGAGGTACGCTTCATCTGCCGGTTCGGTGACCCTTCATAGCTAGCTCTTGGCAGCCTTGACCGCCCCGGCGCACTCTCTGTTGCAGCGTCTCCTTCACACCATGCTGTGGCTGCCCGTGCTGGAGCATCATGCCCATCAACAGCAGCGAAGGGAGCACTAACGGACCTCCAAGACCAGACGCAAGATGTGGAGCGGGATGTTCTCAGTCTCAGACGCCTCTTTCGCGCGAGGTTAATAAGGTTACAATCAGTTGCCGAAATTCTTGTTGGGACTAAATTAAAGCATGCTTCCTGAAAAGCAACTTGCTAGTTCACCCGAAGTCCGGTCCTCGAGTCGGCAGTGCAGTCGTGCCAAATCTTCACGCTTCTGCATGTACCTACTTGGCCAGTTGCAGACTTGCTTGTCTCGGCAACTCCAACAATGCTGCAGACCCTCTTTCCTCTTCTAGGCTCTTTGTCTCTAAGCATGACTGCACGCAAGCAGAAAACCAACCATGCTGCTGACTGTACAGGGCACGGTACGTGCTGAGAGGAGTCTGAGCCTAGCTCGCAGTTTTAACAGCACCTTTGGTGAGAGAATGAGAGCTGGCTCGTGGCAGATTGTCTTCAAATGAAATGAAGTTGCTCTGCGCCCAAACGTGTGGTATGTGCCAGGAGAGGAGCTCACTCCAGAGGTATCTGCTGCCTCATTGCGGCCAAATCTGCAAGGGCTCGAACTGCCAGCGGTACCTCTGGTGAGCAGGGTGAGCAGGATGCCGCAACCTTCCTAAGAGGCTCCACATAGCTGTCCCAGAGCTCTGTCAGCCTCTCCACCGGGGCCTCAGTGCCTGCCACACCCCGCACCAGGTGAGCGATGCCTTGCACAGCGCGGTGTCGCACAGCTGGGTCGTCCTCGTTATCCAAGACTTGCTTTATTGCTCCAGAGCGCAGCTCCTCATGAGGCAACACTTGAACTGAAGACTTTCCAACAAGCCTAGTACCAAGCAGTCTCTCCCACATCCCGGAGCCTCGTTTGGCATCAAGAGGAAGTAGGTTTCCACGCAAGCCAAGCGCACCTCTGGGTTTTGATGGGTCGTGTCCTTCAGCATCGTCTCCCCCAACAAGACACATTTCTCGTCGTTGTGAAGGGCTCGTGCAGCCTGCCAGGCCCGGTAGGCCTTCAGCTTCAGTCCCGGGTGGCTCAAGGCGATGCTCATGGGAATGAATGCGCTGCTTGACAAGATATCCTGCAGCTCCTCCGTGTCATAGGCCAGTATGAAATCCAGCAGCTCCTCAGCTACGCTCAGAAACGGCCGTACGTGAACTTCCTCAACCCCCACAACCGATAACGCCTCAGTTCCTTTTGGACCGCACCCATCTCTCTAAGCTGTAAAACAATCAAGATCTACGAACCCAAAAACCTGTCCCCATTCTCCCATTTTGCACTTTCTCCTCCACCACCGCAACGTTTCCGGGCTTCCGGCCGGCCGCTGCTGACAAGCGAAGAAGTTCCTGGCGAAGGGTGCCCACAAAGCCCAGGGCACCTCGAAGTTACCAAAGGACGAGGGCATGGGTTACAATTGCCTGCAGAGCGGGTGCTTAAGGGGTTTAATAAGCAGGGCCGGGCGTTTCATCTCCTGATTTTCTTCAGGGGGTGCTACTGTCTTATGACGACAGGAGCTGCTCCATCAGTTCTTACTTACTTGAACCAACAAATGCCAAAGTCCTTACCCAATACAATTAAAAACGCAAAAGATGAAATCTTCTGATACGCTGAGGCACGCTTCAGTAACGCTGGCCGGGCAACAAACTGGCACAGAGCCTGATCAGACAATCTATTCGAGCTCCCACCTGCTGTTCTCTTGGACTGGATGCGCTGCTGTCCCGAGATTCGCTACTGTCATCTAGTGTCCCTCCATCTTGTCTTGAACTCCAAAACCTTCCTCACGCAAAGACACCCCCGGGGTAAAACCCATCAAGTTTGCGCCTGCGAGAGACCTGTCAGAAGCTGGAAAGGTACCCTCAACATCTCATCGTTGAGACAACAAGGCACCGGGCTGGCCACTTCTGCGCCCCGGGCCAAGGCCCGCGAAAGAAGCGCAAAGGGCAGCCTGAGGCCAAGGCTCTTCTTGGGATTCACACTTGGACAGTCCCTCCATCTTTGAAGTTTCAATTACATAGTTCCGTTCGCACTTAAACATCTTCAAAAGGCATGGCCTGACTTGCAGATCTGCACTGGCCGGCGTCGGCCGGGGGTGCATCTCAGGCTCAGCCTCGTACCTTGACTGAACACTACAAGAGTGCACGTTGAGAAGAATGACATTAATTAACGTGAGGGTGCCGAGCACTCCAGAACCTGTTCCTGCTTTACTGGGTCACAGATGCAGCGGCCAAAATTGCGGCTCAAATATAGGATTCTGGGAATCGGCATCCCTTGCAAGGCGCGCAGTACTCAAAAATGCGGCCGCTTTCTGTGAATGCCTGTCATGCCATTGCAACCTCAAAATGAGGGACCTCTCTCTTCGCTCTCCCTCTCCCTCTCTTTTGCTCTGGCTCTCTCTTTCTCTTCTAATTCTTCTGCTCCGGGCTTTAGGGCCCGAAACCCCCACCCACGCGCGGCCCTGAGCCCACGCACGCGGGTCAATCCATGGTCCGGGCCTGGGAGGACCGAAGTACCAAACAAAAGGGAACACTTTTTTCATTCGCGTTGAAGAGGGCTGTGGGCCCTCTCCAAACACTTCCCCCCGCCCCTGTTGGGCTTTGCCTACTGGTGCGAGTCCCAAGGACATTGGCCGTCGAACCCAGGCAGGGGAACAACAACAATAACAAAGCCAAGGCACAACACCACTCCCTTGCCCAGGACTTTTCCGAGCAGCGTGTTGCTGAAGTATGGGTTGTACTGCGGGCTTTATGGGGACAGACGAACACATGGAGGAGTCGCCAGATTCCACCTGTTGCTATGACATTGCTATGGCTGGGGTACATCCCTTTTCACATCCTCAGGTGGCTCATGAGACTGCACATGTGATATCAACTCACTGCCACCACAAGTTTCGAACAAAAGTATGGTCATATTTAGCAAGGCCTAAGCAATTACTCTGTGGCGTGAGACTTTCTCTCTCTCTCTCTCGCTCTTTGTCCTGTTCTTCTTCTACAGGCTATGCAGTGCTCTATGGCACTCAGAGGGCAAACGCCCCAGCCCAGCTCATGTCCGATGAGTCACGGCTGGCAGTCTTGTTGAGGAAGGGTTGGCAATTGACCGGCCCATCCCCCAGCCTTCTTCTTCTCGTAGCATCAGACCAGTCAATTGCCCGCACATCTCAACCACGCTTGACGGAAAATTGAATTTCAGCCCTCCTCTGCAAAACTCTATACATCTTCCCCAAGGAAATCATGCTGAAGGTCGCAGAACCCTAAGCCCAACCTCAACCCCCTCCAACATTTGTTTCCATTGGGTTCAGTTTCGGCTCAAATGGTGTCGCACCATCTGGAAGCAGGGTCTTTCTACACGTGTTTACACTTCAGTCCCTCTCCGTGCCTTGATGGATGTGACTGCTCTCCCGTCATAAGGTTCCTCGCCGAATTGATGCTCTGAATTTTCCGCTTCCTTCATCCCAGGTACACTGCCTCAATTTTATCAAACCATACCAGAACCCATAGCATCCAAGCACCCACAATCAACAGCTTCCCTTGGTCTGAAGTCGAGCAAATTCCTTGCATGGTTCAGTCACCAAGTCTCCCCGGAAGGCTTTGCTCCCGGTTCTCCCGGGAGCTTGCTGAATTCCTGATTCTGACTTCATTATCACGAATTTCTTCTCTTGCCTCAAGGTGCCGGCTCCCCTATCTGAACGCTTCTGTACATGTTCAACGGCATGCCTTTCTCACGTTCCGCTTTTTCAGTTTCCTCACATCCTACTTTTCCTGTACTGCAAGGGATCTGTTTGTAGTTCAGTTTTCCGCAGGGGCCTCACACTCATGTTTTGCCACAAATGCCTGAACAATTCGCGCTGCCACATCTTCCCCCAGTAGTTTATCCACGTTCTGGAGACACCTGGCCGGGACCTGCTTGTCATCTCCCATTAGCAGCCGCAACACCCACATGTGAATCTGTTCCGTCTTGATTCTCGTTTCCGTTTCCCTCATGTTGATCCCTTCACTGGGCTTGGTGGCTCTGCCGGTTTTGTATCAGCATGCCAATGAGCGGCGGGCCTTCGCTCTACCATCTGTAGCTTGTTCTCCCCATTTTCTGCAACCAGGCATCCTCATCTGAATCAGATTCTCGCCAACAGGGTGGCACCTGTGCTGCGTAATTTCCCACTAGTTTCTCATCTTCCTCAGTCATATCTTATGTTGATGTCAAACACTTTTCTTGATCCTCTTCCCTTCTCCTCTGTTGTTCAGCTGCTTCTCTCTGACAGTGTGTGAGAGCCAACTCGTCCAGGCCCTTTGGATTCGTCAACTTGGCGGCGGCACCCGCTCCCACTCAGTGCCTTCTCGTCCTGGCTTGGTCTCTTCCCGCACGGGTGCGCTAGTTTCCCGCTTCTCCCTGACAGACGTGGTGGCTTGTGGCTTGACTCTTCTGTGGCCTCCTGCTGTTCTTCGCACTCCCTACCAGGATTTCTTCCACCATGCAGGAGTTATCCTCGTCAGCTTATGCAAGATTCCCCGGGCTCCCCGCTCCGTCATGTCTTCCAATTAGAGTCGTCCCTTCCGGCCTCGGTGAAGCCAAGTTGGGCTTTCCCATTGTTGGCTGTCTGCTGACATCCCTTCTTCTCCACTTATGTCGTCCTCTTCTTGTTGTTGTTGTTGTTGTTGGTGGTGGTGGTGGCGGCGGCGGCGGCAGCGGTGGTGGTGCTGGTGGTCCCATCGGGCAGCTGCTCGTTGCGCTGGAACTGTTTGTCGGGAAAGAAGTTGAGGACGAGGATTGGTTTGTCCACTTCTCTCTTCGTGCTTCATCCCCTGCTCCAGCTTTTGGTTCATCCTTCTCCCTCCTGCAACCTGATTCACTCTGCGTCGCTCGTCGCATTTGTTCCTGGCAAGCGTGCCTGACATAGCATTTGCAAAAAAATCGTAGCTGTGTGCAAACTTCTTCGAAAGTTTGCCCAGAATGCGTGCATCCTCGGGGTCCATGGCTTCGCTCTTCTCTCTCATGCAAAGTGGGTGTTGTCCGCACCTCCTTCACACCTTTTACGGTTCCCACCGTACTCAGTGGTGTGCCGCGGTCAGCAATGGCTGCTTAGATTTCTCCAAAGCTCCCACCTGAAAGGTTCCAGCTCCAAGCTCCCTACAACGACCACACGCAACCAAGCAACAAAGTCGCGTCAAAAAAATGAACTCATAAGTTTTCTCTACCCTGCGATACAATTCTCCATGGAGGGGGCTCATCAGAGAAGGACAAACTGTCCCTGACGGTCTGGAAAAGAATGGTAACGAGCTGTCTATCTCGCATTCAAGCTTGGTACAAACCGAACCAAGCACCCCCCTTTTTATCCGGTCATTAAGTCCCCCGTGCAGGGGCTAGAGAAACGCACACAAGCGATATCCTGTGGGTTGGACCTCAGAGGAACGCTACCAAGACTCCTGAAGAGGGTCCTGGGAACAAGAGAAATTAAAAGTAACCCGCTGACATTAGCAGCTTTGAAGCAAGAGTGCAGCTACATTTGGCTGGAAATTCTGCTCATGTCGCTGGAGCTCAAACTTCAGCATGTGCAAGCCAAGGGTCAGCACCGACATCTTCACGACTTGCTTGGTGCCAAACAGAACTGCGCCAGCCTGATGCAGAAGGCGATGGTCGAAGACCTGGGTCGACTCAGGGCACCCTCACAGCCAATGCTCCGAAGATGCAAGCTCTGTGCCTGAACAATTTGCCAAAAAGCAGCCCTCTCCCAGCCCGTAACATGTCCATCCCCGAGTTTGCTGATTGAAGCCAGGCCCGAATATTAACAGCACCTTTCACACCCATCAGAATTCCAAAACGTGAACCATGAACCACCCGCTCTGCAACATCATTGCCAGGGGACAACCACAGTCCCCTGCCTGGGCTCGACATCCACGCCGCCTTCCAGGAATCGCAAGTTGCCGCCTGTGTGGTCAGAGTTGACCTTGGACTCGAGCTTCTGATATGAAAGTGAAGCCAGTGGCTCCGGAAGATCTGCTTTGGCTTCACAGGTGCCGAAATCTCAAATGCCTACGAGCTTGCTTTCAGGCGTGGAGATCATGGTGAAGATTGTGGATAGCTGCTTTCGCAGCTCTACGGAAATGTGGAGGCCCGGGTCATCATGTGCCACCCGGGGCGACTGATACATTGTGCATCTGCAACAACCTTCAGGCTTAAAGAAGAACATTGTCTGGGACGAAGGCATGCTGGTAAGAAGGGCAGACCCAGCCAATTTCTTGACAAGACTACAAGAGATGAGAGCGCACTGCAGCTAAGAGGAAGCCATCCTGCCGCGGTGGTGCCAATGTGCCATGGAAAGTCTGTGTAATCTGGCGCAGGTGTCAAGGTTTTTGGCTGACTTTGAGACCAGCGGCGTACAGAAGCACAGTGAGGCGCGAGTACCTTGATGCTGTTCTGGGCTGGTCTCAGGGAGCCAAGGGCCAAGGCACTGGTTGCTAGGTTGACCTATTACAGCATAAGCAGCCTCGTCAATCTGATATAGCAGTTCGTCTGCAGTCAAAGAAGCTTGGCAAGGCATGGAGAAGAGATAATTTAGACCCCCTGGACGAAAACACACACCTGGACCACCGCACAACTCAAGGCCTGAAGCTTTAGATTTAGCTGCTTGAGTCGGGTCATCCTTGGCGCACCCTTTTCTCCTGGCGAATGCCCAACGAGGCGGACGTGAATCTCAAGCAATGCTACTCCCACAGAAAAATAAAACCCTGAATTCAGCAAAGTACGCTCCGCACCCTGCACCTCTTCCAGCCTCAAGACCTGAACCCATGAACCTGAAAACCCCCTTCCCCTAAAGGGGCCCCTAAACTTTAAAGTTAAAGCCAACTTCCATCAATAGGCCCAAGTGCGACCCAGGACCTGCCAAAGGCGTATCCGCATGCGCGGGATGATCGCCTTTAGGCTTTAAGCTTAGGGTTGCTAGGCTTAGGGCTCGAGATTTGGGCATGCAGATAACTGCAACTGTAAGAAACAACACTGGAAACCTTGCAAGAATCTACCCGCACATCTTGGAATGGATGTCCGGGTACGCACAACTACACTCTATCACTGCTACCAAACCAGTCCTGGATTGGATCCCTTGAGGCTTTACTTGGAATCAAACCCTTCAGCCTCCAGCAGCGCAATCGCCATGGTACCTGGTCACAATTAATATCTTGGCTTTGGGACCCTAGCTTGCCTTTCTGACACGTACTGAAACCCAAAGGCCATACACATGAGTCTGCGTCTGCAGCCGTCAACCCTGGCCGCATGCAAGGAAAGTTTCGCGTGCTTCTGGAAAGAGATGTCAACTATGTCAGGATCAATAATAGCTAGCACGTCAAGAGATGGAGAACCCGCTTCTCTGTCACCAATCTGCCTCTTCAACACAAATCAGGCGTTTCACGAAAAGGAATACTTTGTAGAGGCCAGTACGCTCTCTTCTCCAGCAGGTCTTAATCCGGAGACGGCGTACTTCCCATGTGTCGGGCACACTCATCTTAACGCGCTGCTTAAAACAAATCAATGTCTTCAAGGCACTGCAGCAATCGGAGGCTTGGGTGAGGGCCTGCCAGGCGGCAGCCTCCCACAGCCGCAGGGAATTCAGTATGTCTGACGTGCATGAATCATTTCACGCAGGGTTGAAAGTGCGGATAAGTGTTGATGAAACCGCTTTGTTGTTGAAAGGTTTCAGGGCGTGATCAGGTGGCTAGGGCTATGGGGCTGTTCTTGGGGGCAAGCTTGCATGAAGCTTTTCAAGTTTATCTTGGGGTTGGTTCAATATGGTACCTGTCATGGGTCCTGCATGAGCAGAGAGGGCGAACCTTTTGCTCTGCGACGCAGATTAGAACAATGCTTTGATGGGCAGATTGTTTTTTGAGCACGGAATCAAAAACAAGTCTGGTCCTAATTAATGATGGCTCCAGCAGAATGTTAAACAAGAATCTGCAGGCTACGCTTACCGGCCTGCCTTCGAACTTCTCTGGCACAAGGAACTGCACGGCCTTCCAGACTTCCAAAGCGACCTGACAACAACTTGCTGGCATTTATTGCTTGTATGCCTGTATGCTTTGTGTTTGGCCTTGGGGGTTAGCTTTGGATATCGGTTTGTCACTGATGGCCACTGGGACGCATAGGAGCAAGTCTAGCACGCCATAGAAGGCTGCTTCAAGAAGAGCTTACAAGGGTTTTCCACAGACGTATGACTCCTTTTCTGGACATGGCATTTCCTTGCGACCTTAAGCACTGCCAAAACCCTGCTGGCTGTCCTCGGAATCTTCGACATCGCGCCAGGCTACATCTTCCTGTGGAAAAATTGGCTGAACAGCAACCCGCTCTCGGACTGGAGACGGCTTCCCTTCAAGGATGGGAATGCCACAGGATAGCAGAAGACAGAAGATGTCATGCAGTGGAAGCACCAACATCAGACAGCAGCACAGCAAGAATGATCAAATCAGCATGACAGCTACAATCATCATGCTTTCTGGGCGACATGCACGCTTTAACAGCTCATCTCAGGGAGCATCTGCAAGAGTCCATCTGGATGCACAAAGGATCTGCTACTGGCTAAGACCTCACAAAAGGATAGCGCTAAGCTCGTGAATGCTTGCATCGTCAGGTATGCCTCGTTCAGAAATGAGAGGTTCTAGACGCTTAGGGTGCTGAGCACTGTCACCAACGAGTCATGAAATCCCACCCGGCATTCCTCCAAAAGACGAGGCCTTGGACACCAGCTCTGATAGCTGCTGGCAGAGCTCAGGAGATGCCGCGTTCTCGCGGCCTTAGGAGAACCGCAGTACAGCGTTTTTCGTCTACAGCTAAGGGGTATTCATCATCATTAGCCCTCAGAATTTTCAAATTCTTGGGACACCTACTGTCAACATCCACCTTTGTTATCCCACTATCCAGAATTTCTTATGGAGCAGGTTCGGGCAGTGCTCTCCTTCGTGCTGGAACGTGTTGGGAAGCAAAATAAACCTGCAGGCAGCAGAAATAACACCAAGGACAAATCTGACCCAACCAGTACACATGCATGGACCGCCGCATCCTGCTTTGAAACTGGGCAACCTTCTTTGGGTTGCTTTCTTCAACGCAGCTGGCCAGGCACTGAAGCCCCTGAGGGCCAAGCAAAGCCACCGCCGATCCGGCGACAGCACGTCAGCGGACAGCGGAGCAGAAACCATCACGGCATGGGCTCAGGCAATGCAAGCACAGGCTCGTCTCCGGTTGGCTCCACTTCCAGTTCGGTCACCGTTCAGGACGTCAGCGTAAGAGCTGAGTTCTTTTGAAATCAAAGGATTTTTTGTTGCCTTTGCTCGTATGTGCTTTACTATTCCAGCCTGGTCGTCTAACAGCATACTACGAGCCAGGCACTGAGGCTGTGACACGTGATCATGATCCCAGCCAGCTTTCTACCAATGCATTTAGCTTGGTGGCTGCCTGCTGCCTGCAGCAGGAGTCAGCGCATGAGAACTGTTTCGCTAGAAGATCCTGAAACTGTCACATTCAGGTTGCCAGCTGCCTTGCGATGTTCATACCCCCCCACCGCTTCGGATTTTTCTTTGTCTGCTGCAGGAGGTGACAACCCAACACTCCCAAGCCGTTCAAACCATCAATCCTGCGACCTATCAACCCCACTTGCCTTTCCAGCCCGCCAGCGACCTGCCAACTAAGAAGTGAGCTGAGTGCATGGCATGGCTAGGAGTTTTGGGTCCAGGTGGAATCCGCCCACTTACTCTTGCTTTTGCTGGGTTTGGCGATTAGGCGTGTGTATCTGTCAAGTAAAGGAGGAGACAGCAAAGATATCCAGAAAGAAAGGCCATCACAATACTATTACATCTACTTCAGAGAAGCAGTTGGTACTCGAGGATGTACTCCTACCGACTTCTAGCGCAACAAGGAAAAGGCAAGCCCGAGCTGGCCTGGAGCTCCAGCCCTACACGGGCGAGGCATTCGCCTATGAAACGGCGTTCGCCATCGGCCTCTGCAAGAGCAATGACTCTGAGACTCTGCTGACGATGCTCATCATCTTCGCACAATGGTATTTTAAGAAATAATCCAATTAGGATGTTGGTTTGAAATAGTGGCACATCAAATGTAAGGCGTTGTGATAGGACAATTCTTGGCCTGGTTGCCTGAGACCGAGATGTATCACCAGGCTATGAATGCAAAGGGCAGGATCAAGGCTCATCTGATTACTAGTCACGCGGAGACACAGGATCAAGGCTGAAAGTGAAAGAACATGTTTCGGGCAAGGCGGCAAGCATTTTGATCACTCAATGGAATTTCATCGGTAAGGGCTGGAGGCTAGCTACGTACATCCGCAGAGGCACCGAGTCTCATCCCCAATACGTGCATGACCAACCAGCCAACAAGACAACACGAGCAAATGCACCACCAAGTGGGAAGGCGATGCGGCAACTGAGTAGGTCATGAGCCATGGATTTCGAGCAAAGTTCGTCCAGTTCTGCCAAAAGAAATGAAAAACGTGTCAGCCAGGCTTTCAATTATCGATGTACCTCCCCACCACCGGCGAGCGGGGACTTAATTTAATCGCTAACGCGATACCGCCTCGGCAAGTGAGGTTAAGGCGAGAGGGCTCTATCCCCCCCTCCCCCGTCCCCCGACCCTCCCCACCCCAAACCCAAATCCGCATTTTTGGTCTGGTGGCTAGGAGGGTTACCCATCCCCTCCCCCTGCAAACCGAGAAAAAAAAAAGCTGTGGACTCCCACCCCCAAAATCGTGCGCACTGAGAGGGGGGGGAGGGTTACCTTACTCTGCTAGTCTCCGGACCTGGATCTAAACGCCCCAGGCCGCCGGCCTCGGCGGATAACATGACGATATAACGAACATGGTCCAAGTTGATGCGAAGCAAAAGATGTTGAGCCAGACAGGCGCCCCCCCTCGGACGGATAGTCTGCGGCTGAAAGGGCAAACATCGTCATGTCATTGTTGCATCACGAGGTGTCTCGAAGCCCTGAATGCGGCTGGCTGGGCTTGCCCTCTTCCAAATACAAGCTCCAGCACCGTGCAGTCCCGTGATGGGCCTGCTGATTTTGGGCCTAGCCTGGAGACTGGTCTATCTAGTGTTGCAGTGACTAAGAGAGGGAGGCAAAACTCGAAGCATGTGATTGCTGAAAGCACATGTCCGTCAGGTGCTGACTGTTGCAGTGGAAGACTGTTGAGAGATCGCCAGTCTACCCAATGCTGCATCAGGTGATGCTAGAAGCACTGAACATCTTATGCATCTAGGAAAATGTTGCATGTGTCCAGCCTCCACCGGATGCCTGTCAGGGAGGAACTCCCAAGCGAAACCGACTGGATCGTTCACAGTCTCGGCCTGCCTCAGATGACAAGCTTCATGCGTCTCTATGCTTGTGACCAGCAACATACCCCCAGTCCAGAGTCTGCCAGGGTGCGCCTCAAGGAAGTCCGGGGCGTGCTGTGGCCGCGGTGGCAGCGGTCGGACACTCCGGACCTCCTCTTCTGGTGCTGGTATTCGAGAGCGCGGAGAATCGCACTTGGCCTCGGAGGCCTGTGTTGAGATCTGCGAGAGCTGTCCACACAAATCACCGGAGGCTTCTGGGAAGTCTGCGCATTCCTCGTTCGAGGCAGCGTTTTCCATCTCTGAGCTCTGAAGGGCTCCCTCTGTTCGCAGACCCTCTGTGCTAACTGTGGAATCATGTAGCAGTGATTCCACGGGTTCATCTGGCTTGGCTTTCACTGCCTGAGACTTTGCCACCTCTGGCTTTGTGACCTCAGGCCTGGCCTCCGGCTTTGCCTCGGGCTTTGCCTCGGGCTTTGCAGGCTCAGGCGCCTTGCGAACACTTTGAGGGAAACCTCTCAGCACTGGAGAAGCCTTGGGACTCCGATCTGTTGGAAGAATCACCCGTGCGCGGCGCACGGGAGAGTGTGCCGTGATGGCCGTCATGGATGGAGCCATGGGAACCTGCACAGCGCGTGCAGGTGTCGGCAGCCGCAGAGCATCGGCGCGGGGTGCAACATCCTGAGTGGTCACTTGCTTGAACTACTTTATGGAACATCATCCTGAGGTCCGAAAGCCTCTTCACCCAAACTGCCACTTGCCTCAAGCTGACATGTAAGCAGCACCTCTGCTCCCTGCAGGCTTGAACATTCCATGGTGAATGCGTCCAATCCCTTTAAGGTAGCCAAAGCACCATTCGACGAGGCGAAGGCGACGTCCGCACCCGCACCACGCGAGGTGCCGCAACAGGAGACGCGGCGCTGACAGGCGCGGCACCTTCTCATCACAACCACAGGGTCAGTGAGCATCCTGAAAGCAACTCTTAAAGGCTATCTACATTACACGCGGCTTCTTCACTTCAAACCCCTTTGGTGCCGCGCTTCGTGATGGAGTTAGCTTTCAACAGATTGGCGTAGCATCAAACAGTCGGACAGCCCAAAACCCGACAGTGATGCTCTTACAGCTTAGAGTAGAGATGGTAGAGTAGAGGGAGCGGAAGATCATTTTCACTCATGAAGCTGAAAAATCCACGCCCCAGACAACTTGGAATTGCCATGCCTTGTTTTCGAGTGAGCCCGCAACCTTTGCCACAGAAAGTTCGGTCAATACCTCCCTTTTCATCGGGCCCTGCCGGCTTCTAGGCAAGGCAGGAGCCCCTCAAGTTAGAAGGTTGTGCATTCCTATCCCAATCCCCAAGGTCTTTTTGATGTGTTCATGCTTCGACGGCCCAGCACCTGCACTCCACGGAGCCAAGGGCACCGCAGGGCGCCGGGGCGCTGTGGGCGGCCGCAAAGCTGTTACAGGGAGAGAGGTTCACGAGAGACTTGCGGGAAGGTGCTGTACTGCCTTCACTCCACAGGAGTATGGGTTGCCAGAGCAGGGTTGCCACGTTCTTCCCTTGTTTATTCGGCCTTGGTATCCCGATGCAGCTACTTGGATCGGCGCATACAGCGTCGGCTGCATTGGGGCTGCCTGGCAGGCAGAGCGCGCACTTCATAGCACCGTGCCATTACTACTGGCTGGGTAAGTTCAACTGACACAGCCCGAGTGCGAATGGGGGAGTGTGCCTGCTTCAACGCGCGCCTAGATAATCCAACCTGAGCCCTTAAGTGCTGGCCTGTCGTGGGGCAGCAGTGGCGCTAAGCACATCAGGAGCCACTTTCCTGAAGGCACCGCTGGTTTCCACTCATGCAGCCGGCAAAGTGTTTGGCACTAAGGCCAGCGTTTCTGATGGTCGGCTGAATCATCGTACAAGCCTGCTTGATACTAGCTACTGGCCCCACCTCATCATCGGAGAGGTGACTGCTGATGCCTGGACAATAGCAAGGAGCTAGCCGCTGAAAACCAACAACCAAAGCTCTCCCATGGCCTCCCTCACAGACGTCCGACCCAATCAAACAGAGACAGCTGATTGAGAACGGGATGTCACATGTTATCATAGCAGCCTTAATGTATCTGCCCATGCTGGCTGGCGCCTCGATTCGGAAAGACGGCACTGCCACGTAGCCTCCGCATCCTCCGCACAGTGGGCCAACCGCCGCGCAAGCATCTTTCCCCGACAAGCTTTCGATCAGACTCCCGAAACTACACACGCGTGAAGAACATGTGGCACCTCATGTGCCCCAAAGCCCAAGACCCCTTGTGGCCTGCCTTGGGCTCGCAAGGCCTCACGCCTGCAGACTTAAGGTTCAGAGGCAGACAGTACTTCTCAAATTTAGCTAGTCGTACAGTAATACCCTTGTCTTGCTATGTATGCCTTTCAGGGGAGATCGACATTGAAGGATTTTAGCAGGTATTTTTGGTTTTGACGGGGACAAAGGGCAAGTCGTGAAGCACAAAGGCCCGGAAGATGCGGAAGGCACCCTTCAAATCCCCCACACTTTCGCAGCCCCGGCCAGGAGCCGCTACTGTACCATGGCCAGTCAGAAATACTGAACGTGTGGAGCTTCCTTTTTAGGAATGTCATGCGAGCCTTTTACGAATCAGACTGAATCAGACAGCCCACCTCAGCGGCAGCACCACAGGCCCGCCATTGCCAGCAGGCCTGGGAGCCGCTGGAGGCACGGGCATCAGGCCTGAAAGGCAAGCATACGCAAGCATCCACACAACTTACGCAACAGACGCGTGGTAAAGTAAGCTTCAGTAGACGAGCTCGACTTCCTTCAGATCCCAGCCCCACGTGTTCACTTGCACGCCGTACCCAAAGCAACGACCTAGACGGAAACATGAGAAATACTGATCACCCTGCCCTGCTAGTCGTGTAAAATGCTTCAGCCTTTGCAAAGAGCAAGTCTTCTTGCGCAGACATATTCTAAGAGCGCCTTAATGGCTTTTTCCTTTCTTCGGACTGGAATACATGATGCGCAGGGAAACTTAATGATGAGCATAAAACTCGATGTACTTCGTCTATGCTCTGCCTCTCTTCGCCTATGACAAGCTGCACAAACCCTGGGGCCTCGCAAAGTTGCGCCAGGCCAGGTAGGGAGCCCAGCAATCCAAAGGAGTGCCGAGCCAACAGCTAACAAGCTTTTAGCTTCTCGCCCTTCTCTTTCGCCCTTCCACTCCTTTGCTCCTTCTTTTCCCTCCTCCTGCTGCTGCTTCATGGAAACGATCATTTCTTTCTTACGCTTTGACAGCTATGGCTATGCCATTACAATAAAAATAAATGTTTCCTGCCATGCTGTTGCAACACATTATCCTTGTATTCTTCTCTGGTTACTGCAGGGATCCTCATCCAGAATTCTCAGAATGGACATGCCCCAGATACTCAAACTGTCCAGACAGATCAACATTGGTATGGGATAGGCCCATGTTGCAAGGAGGCCTAATCAATCTGCCAAAGTGCTGTTCAAGGACTTTTGGGCAAATGCGGGATGGATCCAGAAGAAAACCTGAGCATGCACCCCAGCAAAACAAAGCAAGCTGCACGTCGAACACATTTTTCTCGCTAGCTCTGCACTACATGGACAACTTTCTGAATTGGGGGTCTGTTGTCTGGCAGGCCCGAAATCAGCGCCATGTTGACAAAGAGTCCAAATTCAGAAAACAGTCCACAGGAAAAGGCAACGGCGATTCCCACAATGGTTGCCTTAATCTGGGACTTCTTGTACCTTGAGAGGCTTCCTGCAGCTAATCATTGTGGGAATCGTTGTGTTGCCCGGAATACATGCCAAAGGTTCTGCAGGAGGTTCTGACAAAGGGTCTGCTGTTCAGCGGACCCGGCTGCATGCAGCTGCAAACTAGTGGTCCTTACAACCCCACTCTAAGACAAACTACAGCAGTTTGAACCCTCACATGTTGGTCGTTGGGCGCTGAGGGTTAACTTGTCGGCTTGAGAGCTTGCCGGGGCAACTTGCGGCCACTGTTTGGCGATCCGTTTTTCAACTTGGCATTCTGCTACTTGTGTGGGGTGCCCGAGTACCTCCGCGGAGCCTTCGTCAATTTCGCGATCACGCTATCGAATAACAATATCTTCTCCATCCATTTCTGTGTCGTAGTTCCTGCCAAATCACTGCAGTGGCACAGAAGTGTTTAGAGACGTGCCTAAGCTGAGAAAACTGGTGCATTGCTGACCCGATGCTAAAGCCCGTCACAAGCAGGCATAAAGTACCCATGAGAGCACGCCGCATACCTGGGGATCTAGCTATCAACGACCCAAAGCGTGTAATAGAGAAGAAACTAGTCCAGAACACCTCCATCTTGGCACCTCTTACAGGCCCCTACAGAACGTCCCCCATGCCTCTGAAACTTGCAGGCATCGACCACGTCTTGCCAGGCCAGGATGCGAACCCGCACTGGCACCTTCTTCTTGCCTTAGTCATAGGCAGGGGCGCTAGTCCACTAGGAAGCATATGGGGACGAGTACACTGGGTGCACGTAACTAACCGAATTAGGTATGTCTAGTAGCAAGGACACAAAAACATTGAGCAGACTGTTGGTGCAATTGTCCACGGAGTTCAGGTTCTACTGAAGCACTGGTGCTTCAGTATCCTCGTCAAATCTTGCGCAGAATGGAAACTTGGCGCATGAATTCTGAACAAGGCCTAATGCAAAAGGGCACAAATGTCCTGTAAGCAGGCTCGCACACAGCATAGCGTAATGCAATCACAGTCGCAAATGCGCCTCTGATACTCCTGCAAGCAATAGAGCCGCCGATTGTCCTGCAGCTAACTCAGAACGAGCACGCCGTAGTGACTGAGTGCCGCTCATGGCGGACACCCCTCACGATGAGACTCCACTGTGAGAGGTCCTTCCACTGAACTGCAATCTCTTTGGGGGCTTCGCAAAAGAAGAAGCCATCCCCCGCAATCGAAAAGCCTGATAAATCCTGAGCCTAAAGCAACACTCTGGGAGCCAAAACTAGATTTCAGAGCCGCAGTTTCTGAACGGCCTCGCAACCCCTCGCGTGCAAACGCCTGGAACGCCCAATCTTCTGCAGGCCTTCGAGTACAAAGCGGGGCTTCCCTTGGAGTCGGCCTTTTCGACCACGGTGAGTTTCAGGAACCTCAAAGCTGAAGGCTGCAGCCAAATTTCAAGAAAACATCAACAGAAAAGATGATACATGCAGATGTCTGTTTTTGGAGGGCATCACCCTCTGGCCGGCGTTACCTTAAGGAGCTTGGTGCGGGTCCTTGGCATAGTCTTTGGACGGGTGGCTCGTCTATCATGGGGTTGAACGTGCCCCGCATCAAGCCCAAGATCAGCTCCTTCATCAGGGCAAAAGGCAAGAGGGCTGGAGGAGACCTTGTGAAAACAATACCTTGGGAACACGTTAGATTTTCCCCAAGTCTGGTTCTGTGGTGGGCTTTCAGAGAGCTACGCATCCAAACTTGATCTGAAAGATCAAGATGTACTGCTGCAGCCATACTATGCTCGGAAGCGAAGAAGCGCCCAGGCATACGTAGCCTAATTACTACTACTGCTATGTCATCCAAACGCTAGGGTTG